CCGAGGTAGCTGCTCTATGTTGCTGATTTTTACGTCCCGGGAGTGGCACTTCTGCTGGACGAAGAACTCTTTCGTTCTACCATTGTCCAATATCTTTGTGTTCAACAATTAGTCGCTGCCCAATATCAGCATTCGATACAACAACTGAAGCATCCTCTGATCCTCAGCTGACTATGTCACTAAAACAATAGCCAAATCCATCAGTTTCGAAATAGTGAGATGCCCGTGTTCCTGAAGAATTCATCCAGCAATTGTACCTGATCATAAGCTAGTTGCTGCCCAGAATCAACTAACGATGCATCAACCACGACTCTGAAATCCTCTGTGTATTATTTTAAATCCCAACATCGACTGTCCTGTTTCAACATCGAGTTGTCGCTCGAGTACAATCACATTCACCTTATTAGGATTTGTTTGCGCACCAAGTTCACTAGCTATATTTACGTCACCTATTTAGTTTAACACCTAATGCGTCAAGATTTTTCACTCTGTTCCATACCCTATAAGACTCAAACCCTAAACTTCTAGCCAATTAAGAATAAATGAATATTTAACATAAAATTTTAAGGTAAGATAAATGATAAAAGAAGATAGTCAAATAAGCATAAAATTAAATAGCTAAAGATGAGTAGTAACGAGTCCAAATAAAATTGGAACTTAATAAGATTAAAAAGAGCCTATATATTTTGATTTAACCTTGTTCCGTTTTAACCCTTTTTCGAGTATGTTGTCCTGGTTTGATCATGGAGGATGTGACGGCCTTCACATAGACCCCAATACTCTCAATGCCACCACCATATTTGGTGCCATGAAATCCACCAAAAGTACGATCATCTCCTATTTCAAAGTTGAACTCTTTTAGGAGTTTGTAATTAACAAGAGTCTTCATGCCATATGGTCCATAGGTACCCTTGTTGGTACCGAACGTTATTGATCTCAAATATATAAACGTATCAGGTGATTCACGATCATGGAAACCTCTTATCGAAGTAAGAAATTCTGATGGATGATCCAACACAACCTTCAATAAACATGGACGATAAATGTTAATGATTGTTAGTACTCTAATATATTTATTTAGTAGTATATTCAGAGTAAAAACTTAAAATAGTCCACTATCTTTTAATTTAGATTCAAAATAGGCTTAAAATACTGTAATATATTACTATATAGATGGTAATAAATAAAAAATATCGATAAAATCAGTAATTATTTATTAAAAAGTACTCAATCAAGTAATTTTTCCTTCAAAATAATCCTCTTTCTTTCTAGTTAAGATCATCATCCACAATCGATGTTCTAGAGCTACAATTTCACGTACAAAAATAAATATTTTTTGTCGTTCTTCAACAAAACTAATCTAAAGCACCTAAATTTTCACTCGGCCACAACAATCCGTAAATTAGGGTTATGAAAGAAATAAAACTATTTCGTGTCTAAATTCAAAGCTAGTGGACTATTTGAAGCCTTTACTCAATGTATTCAACGAAATAAATGTAATTAAAAAAAATTTAAATCGTAGATCCGTCTCTTACAGTAGTGAAGTTATTGTTGTGTGCAGGACCATGTGTGTCAGACAAAACAAAATTACCATTCTCAACAAACAAAAATTGAAGTGAATAAACTGCAATTTCATCATAGGAAAAAAAAAACTTAGCAATTTCTCCTTTACCCTTTTCATCCCAAACAGTTCCCCTTTTTCCTCCAGCAGGACCAACTTTAATTAAATTCATATTAACTAATTTCTTGCTCTATGAAATATAATTGTTATAATTTATACGTGGGTGAATAATATATTATTATTATATATAGAGAGGAGTAACTAATTAAGGTAAAAAAAAACTAATTAAGGTGTTGAGTTCCTTTTAGAGTCCTTCTAAGTTTCAACGATTGCAATTTGACTTTTCCTTGAATTCGTTCTTGTCTAGGATTCTATCTGGTTTATATTAAGTAAATTGTTTATATTTTTTTGTAGTTCAAAATAAGTAAAATTTGTAAAGTTGGGCGTTTTTATTTCATTCATATTTACCTTTCCTTTTAATGAGGTTTTTACCTACCTTACATTTTCTGGGAGAATAATTATTTAAGAAGAATTAAAAGGGTAAATACTGAAACGTAACCTTTAATTTTGGTCCATAAATAATTTTCTTTGACGAATATGTCATACCCCAATAGGGACCCTTACGTACCCAAAATGAGAAACACTGGCTATCTCACTGATTACCCAATTGTTTATAGTTTAGTGATTTTATTATGTTATATTAATATTTTTTCAAATATATTATTGATATAATTGTTATATTATTTAATTTTATGTTGTAAGATACTATGAGGACGGCTCTACTTCACTGGGAAGACAGGTACTACTCATACACCTATAGGTGAGAATCTACACTACTATGACATGCCTTAAGCTATTTCTATTTTTTCTACCACTTGTATCTACCATTTCTAACCGTGGTGAATTATCTAGTCGAATTCTTGCTCCTTATAGTTTACCTCCACCGGTAACGAAGATTAGGACTCTGGCTGCTTATTTTTGAAGTGTTAGTGGTTACAACAATCACCGTCACAGAGAATATTATATTGGATGCATACATACTAGTAACAGATGTTGTGTATGAAAAATGACATCCGTTTAATTAGAGCCCTCTCTTGTAGATATGGAAAGAAGCAAGTGCTACCACGACTTGATGTTGAAGGTTAGGTTGGTTTGCTCATCAAAACTAAAACATGAATGAACATCCATCTCATTTTTGTTACAATCAAAATTTTGAAATAACAAAGTAAAAACTATCTCTTTTTCCAACATATCGTATGTTGTGTCTGATGAAAGCTTTTGGGTTTCTGCTGAAAGATGTTCATGAAAATTGAAGAGTTTTTTGGGGGTTTGGGGTTTGTTTCTGATGATTACCTCAGAAGGGATCCACCACTTGTTAGAGTTGAGAAGATGTTTGAACAGGTCCAATCTAAGCTTCCTAGAGCCCCAAAATTTCTACTTGTTCTGCTTCCTGAGTGGAAAAATTGGGGCATATACGGTTAGTATAATGTACTTGTCTCTTGATTAGTAGCTAACCTTGTTTAATCTGCCTTGTTTCATCATCGAGTTAGTTACTAATCAAGAGAATAAGTACATTATACTAACCGTATATGCCACAATTTTTCCACTCAGGAAGTAGAACAAGCAGAAATTTTGATGCCCTAGGAAGCTTAGATTGGACTTGTTCAAATATTTTCTCAACTTTAACAAGTGGTGGATCCCTTCTGAGGTAATCATCAGAAACAAACCCAAAACCCCCCAAAAACTCTTCAAGTTTCAAGAACATCTTCTAGCAGAAACCCAAAAGCTTTGATCAGACACAACATAAGACATGTTGGATAAAGAGGTAGTTTTTACTTTGTTGTTTCAAACATTTTGATAGCAATAGAAATGAGATGAATTTTCATTGTTTCATGTTTTAATTTTGAGGAGAAAACTTTGCTACTGTGACATCCGTCCCTCTGTTGGTCTATAATTTGCCTTACCTAGGACATGATCGAATAGTTGCCACAAGATTTCTAAGGACCATCATGATTTTAAAGTAATATGTATAAGCAATAAATTTTAACAAATGTAGTTTAAAATGAACCAACTCAACGTCCAAGACAATACATATAAAACACAAGACACTGACTCATTCATTTTTTTTAATTCATATTTTTGGTAGAGTATCTTATAAGCCAAGACAAGGCATTTAAACTAGTAGGGGTGACACCACTTTGCTTCTTCATTCAATTTAAGTATTAAGGAAATAGCTCAACAGTCAAGATGAGACATATTAATACAACTCAGAGAATATCGACGTGTTCCTTTATTTTATTCAATTCATTATTGTTCATTAATTCTCTTACAATGAATGGCTTAAATTATGTGATGCTGACTTTCATTCCATCCAAATCTCATTTTAAGCCATTTATTGTAAGAGAATTAATGAACAATAATGAATTGAATAAAATAAAGAAACACATCAGTATTCTCTTAGTTGCATTAATATGTCTCATCTTGACTGTTTTTCTTAATACTTAAATTGAATGAAGAAGCAAAATAGTGTCACCCCTACTAGTTAAAATGCCTTCAATGCTTTTTTTTTCTTCTCTACCCTTGTGTTTACCTATATATTGATGGTTCAATTATTATATTGTTACTACTTTATTAAAGATGTTAACTCAGATTTGCAATTCATCTTAGGTTTCTTTTTCCCTTTCTCTTTCCAATTCTATTAAATTTTGGACGACTAATAACAAGATTGACAAAAGCTTAGGTTTTTCTATTCTCCATTTTCTTTATTTCTTTAGTTATCTCTCAATTGTATTGGTCTAAATACAATATATTATTGCAAGTCCTCACATCTCACACAAACACAAACAAACAGGTAAATAACCATATATTTGGTTCCTTTTGATAGAAAATGTTTGTTCTCATTTTTTGCCTTCTTGAATTTGGGTAAAATTAATTTTTTTCTCATGTTCCATTCTAGATTTTAATTTGTTAGCCATATATATCAGTTTCAGTGTCTGTGTTTTCATAGTTTTGTATGAATATATACTCAGTATAATTATATTTGATTTAAGCAAAGCGTAATAATGATTGAACAAAATATTTCCCCTTTTTTTTATTCATAATTCATCAACGAATTAATACAAATAAAAAAAGAGGAAATATTTTGTCCATTCATTGTTTGTTTTGCTTAAATCAAACTTAATTACTTTGAGTATATATTCATACACAACAATGAAACACGGACACTAAAACGTTGATACACGTGTCCAACAAATCAAATTCTAAAAATCAACATAAGAAAAAAAAATCATATTTACCACAAAGTCAAGGAGGCAAAAAGTGAGAACAATTATTTTCTGTGTCAGGAGAAATCAAATATACGTTTGTGTATCCTTTTGTGTTTGTTTCTTTGAGATGTGAGCATTTGCAGTATTTTATTGTATTTAGATGAATAGAATTGAGAGATAAATATTGAAATAAAATATAAAAGAGAACAGAAAAAACAAACTTTTGCCAATTTTATTACTAGTCATCCAAAATTTATTAGAAGTAGAAAAAAAAAGATAAGGAAAAAGAAACCAAAAAAGAATTGAAGATCTAAGTTAACATATCTAATATAATAAAGAGATGACAATATGCTAATCAAACCACCAGTATATAGGTGAACTCAAAAGCAAACAGGGATTTGTTTTTTATTAAATACCAAAACTGAGATTCAGATAGAATCAAACTCACTATTACATAATCTAAAATTGACTGGATAAAATAAAGAAGCAAATCGATATTATCTCAGGTGTGTCTATTTGTCTCCTCTTGGTCAGTGTGCTATTCTCTTAATACTTACATTGAATGAATTTAGTAACATTATTATTCTAGTTCACAAGTGTCTATAATTTCTAGACTATGTCAAAATGAATTTAAATAGTTCCAAAAGAGTTGAAAAAATCAGTATTTGAACAATCAAATCCACTACCTAAGTCAATAAATATTGATCGTTCGTAGACTTTGACCAAATAAATCTAAATTATTTTCACAAAGTTAATCAAATTTCATATATTATCTCATTTGAACAATCAAATTCACTACAAACTTTAAGTAGGTTTCAAATTAAGATAGTAACATTTTTTTTAATGTAAGGCATTTGTAGTTATTTTGCTCTAAAATTGAAGTTTTTTATTTTTCATATTTGGACTCTTTGTCACCTCTCTATAAAATTTGTAAATATATGAATTAATAAATGTATGACACACTTAAAACAATATATATATATATATATATATAAATAGGTCATTTAAAACAATTAGTCTAAAGCCTTAGCAATATTATATGATCAACAATGATAACACAAGTAACCTTATGCTCAGAAGTTTGACAAGGTACATTATAGTTCATTATAACAATATCGAGTTTGAATATACAAAGTGATTATAAATCATTATAAAGATCTGGCTTCAGATGTAAATGCTATTGAGTATGAAAATGTTCATATATTTTGGGGCATAGGAACATTTTCAAACAGAATAACATTTATATTTTCAATTGCCAAACTTCTAAGTTTTGTAACAAATATAGATCAGGTGTAGTAATGAGCTATAAATAAGAAGAATAGGTAAGTCTTAGACCAAAACAGAACGAGCATATAAAACATTTCTATATGTCAAGTTGAACATGGACATTAAGGGGAAAAAAGTAACTACCAGAATATAAGAGTTAATTGACATGAAAATATTTAAGCCACAATTGTAGTGATGAGTTACAAAAAAGAGTAATAAGTAGGTTTCGAAGTACCTCTGCGTAGAATCTTATCGAGCTTCCTCTCTTCATTGTTATTCCGATTTAGATATGCAGTAACTCCTTTAAGACTTAGGGGACATAGTATTCGAGAAGGCCTTGGCCAAAAGAGGAGATTCATGATAGAGGTAAATTATAAGGATCAACAATTCAAGAGAATAATACACCATTAAAACTGGTAGCTACAAGTAATAGAAAAATAATATTCTATGGAGAACAGAATTACCTTGAGGCATGTTACAAAAATCATCCTTAAGGATATATTAGGAGTATCCTTCAAAATTCAACAAGCTTTTTAAGTGATTAACTGGAAGCAGAAATAATAAACTTCAAGAAAGAAAGCCCAAATTGGGAAACGAAGAAAGTAAATAGATAAAGTTGTCTATTTTGTGTTCACCAAAG